CGTATATGTTAGGTTAAGAATAGTGCACAAAAGATTGATAAACTTACAAGAGGACACGGTCTTCACGAACATTATTGTTCACTTCAATAATCTTTGACCCAGCAAGAAATTGCATTACTAGGCCAGAAGTTGCAATTGGAACGATACCAAGCTCCATAACAGTCCCACGGTTTGAAGCATACCAATAGAAACGATCCGCACCAGTTGTCGAATGAATCCCATACAATGGGAGTTGACTATATACCGAGAAAATGAAAATGGAGATCACAGTATATATGACATTCCCACGGAAGGGAACTTTTCTGTCAGCGCTCTGAACTTCAGGAAGAAACGGCAGGAACGGCTTCACAATATCAAGAACCCTAAATCCATCTCCCATCTTTTTTACTCCTAACTAAGCCGTTCTTTAAAACAAATAAGTAAAAGCTGTGATAAAGCACTAAACAAACCCAAACTGCAATTAAGAGCCGAAAAAGATACCTGTGATTCGAAACTGTGATAAAGATAATTTGAAGCGAGCACACTTTATGATGGACTAGGGCATAATATTTACGTGTTTATAAATGGGAGTTCATTCACGTTGAACTATCCAGGTTTTATGTTTTTTAATAGTTTTTTTTTTTAATTTGGATTATCCAAAATATCAATATAAAGTTCATATGGAATAATATATATTATATCATTAAAAAGAATATTTCATCTGTATTATTTGTAAATAGTATTAGTATTTTTTTAATGTGCATTGCACGTTATTTATGGTCGTTGATACTCAGTTGTGCTTACTTGTTGCATTTATCATTTTTAAAAGTATTCTTTTTCTCGTTTAAATTTTTTTTATGATCATGATTTATTTATTTATTTATTTAAAGATTTAATATAAATAATATGTTTCAAAATTGTGAAGGTGTGTTGTTTTTATTAATTGAATGGATTACAAATTTTTCTTTTATTATCATGGTTAAATCTTGAGTACATCTATCACGAATCAAATATATACTCTAATATATAAAATAAATATATTAAAATATAACGTTTAATTATACAATGAATTTAGCTTCATAAGCCTATCCATAGTTAGGGACTTGGATAATAATAATGTGTGAATAGTGAAATAAAAAAGCTGTATAGGCTTTTCGCATTGGATGTTTTTAGGCATCAACCAACACACAACTTCAACGATGGGGAAACTCAAGATAGTATATTTATTATGTAAGAAAGCATTTAAGTCTATCAATTTATAAGAAGAGTTAAAACATAAAAATAATACATGATTAACAATAAATATAACACTAAAAGGTAAAGATTATGGTATCAATTCATACAATGACATTACACTTACTGAAAGAATAAGACATCATTACAAATTCAATAATTTCAAATTAATAAGAGCTTAATGTAATAATTTTCGATAGTCAAAAACAACAAATAATTGATAGTTAAGCATAATTAAAACTAAACATATGTAGCGGTATAATATGACAAATTCCTAATTAGAATAAGATTAGATTTATAATATTAATATAATATAAATAATAAATTGATATCATAATTAGAATATGATTAAACTTCTAATTATATTAGAATTTTACTGCATAGATAATATTAACCAATAATTTTATACTACATAGATAAACGTCTCATAAATATTTATAGTAAACATCCCATTTATTATATTAAATCAAATATTTAAAATTTTTAAATAACAATCAAATCCGCTGTATTGATCCTATTCAATTAATTTTAATCCAAATATGCTTAGTCCTACAACAATCTAGTTTTTTATCAATTGTCAAAGAAAAAGATCCAACCTTTCTTTATGTGTCTTCCCTAATAATCCCATGAACGATTCAATATTTTAATAAATAAGAAAATAACAGTTTTTCTATAAAAAAAAAATTAAAACTAATTCCTATTTAGAATTAAATTAAACTTCCTAATATAATTTAAATTCAAATAGAAAATTAATATAACCAATCAAAATTCAAACAGGAAATTAACATAACCAATCAAAATTAAATTACATTTATTTTTCAACCAATAAAATTAAAGTCCTCAATGATATTTTTGTCAATTCATAAATAAACTCCTAATATAATTTTATTCAAATTAGAAAATTAATGATAACCAATCAAAAATTCAAACATGGAAATAACATAACCAATTTAAATTAACATAACCAATCAAAATTAAATTACATTTATTTTTCAACCAATAAAATTAAAGTCCTCAATGATATTTTTGTCAATTCATAAACTTAGCAGGCGCACTTTAGGAACCCAATGTTTCCTCCCCTCATTCGTACTTATATATATATATATAGGAATTTCTATACATGCAAAAAATATATGATTTATAATATTATAATTCGAATATTGAAATTTTCATGGCTGTCTTACTTCCATCGAAATACTTGAAAGTAAAAAAATAAAAAAAATAAAAAATATTATCTTGAAAAATATTAATCTTAATATCAAATAAAATATAAAATAAAAGGGAGGAAGAAAAGAGAAAAGGAAGTGCAAACATACTAAAGAAGGAAAAGAGATATGCAGCGAAAATAAGTTCTGAATTTTGGTTATAACTTTAGCAACAATAAAAATTCCATTGCTAACCCATTTGCAGAACCAACTCTAAACAACGGCAAAACAAATCAATGTAAGTTATAATTTTAGAAACGGACAAAAATTACGTTGCTAACACGTTTGTAGAGACCTTTTTCAACTCTTAGCATGAAAAATAATGAAACAAGATTTGTTAATTAATAAAAATAATATGATTAAGGATACAAATATAATCAATCTGATTAAAATTTATTATATAATTTTAATCGATAAATAGAATTAAAATTTTTCTAATTAGATGGTCCATCTCTTTAAAATATGTTGCTAAATAATTATAATCTATAAATCGATAAATCTAAATTATAAAAATTATAAATACAAATTATTCTATTAATTTATAAATAGAGAGAGAATTAAAGTTATATTTATCATAAGAAGAAGACGTGATTGCAACCTCAATAATTTCACAATAGCAAAAACAATTAAAATTAAACATATATATCGTAGTGATAAGACAAATTCCTAATTAGAATGAGATTAAATTTATAATATCATAAAAATAATAAATTGATATTATAATTAGAATAGGATTAGTAATGATATTTTTGATATTATAATTAGAATAGGATTAGTAATGATATTTTTGTCAATTCATAAGCTTAGCATGGGCATTTTAGGAACCCAATGTTCCTCACTCATTCGTACTTTTATATATATCATAGATAGATAGTAATAATTTTCTAATATAGTATTAGCTTAGAGAATTAATTATAATTAAATAAAAAAGCAATTAAAACTATGTATATCTTTCTATTTAGAATTAGATTAGACTTCCTAATAGAATTTAAATTCAAACAGAAAATTAACATAATCAAATAAAATCAAAGTATCTTTATTTTCCAACTAATAAAATGAAAGTGCTCGAACTTCTAAATATATTATAGATAAATAGATTATAGATATAGATAATTATAATAATATTTAATATATTAATAGTTGTAATATTAGATATAATTATAATAAAAAAATTCTTCAATTAATGTATTTATTTGAATAATATTTATAATTAAAATAAATGTGATTTCAATAATACTATAAACACTAAAACACATGATTATAATAATATTCAAATATCAATGATAATTAAAATAGTGATAATTATAAAACTATATTCTCAAAATCATAATATTAGTTATCATAATTAATAAGAAAATATGTTATATATTACGGTATATAGTGACATTACGTGTCATTATACTATTATCCACTGGAGTATTAGTTATAATAATAATATTAGCTCATTTTTAATATAAAAGAAATCCTATATATTACTTATAATTATATATAATGCATAGTAAAAGGTATATATGCTAATGTGACTATGCATGTAACGTTAATTAGATACACGCTTGGTTCGTTTTGTTCAAGCTTGGTTCGTTTGGAAACCGAGTTTTTTTCGAGCCAAACTTCGAATAGTTTATAAACAGTTTGATTTGCACCCCTACTTGAAATTAATAAATATAATAAATATTTAAAAATTAGTAAAATTAGTCTATTAGAATTTAGTAAATTCTTTTATTTTTATTACTTATATTAAAATTAGATTTTGATAGAACTATTAAATATTTTTTATTTAATAGTGATTAATTTTTCCTTCAAGATTATTTTTTATTTTGCTAAAATACAAAAATAATAACAGTTAATGTTTAAATTACAGTCTCTAATCTTTTTTTTCCTAATTACTTTTTGACTAGTTCTTACATCTACAAAAAAAATTTAAATCCTCCATTGAGCCATAAATCCAATAATTGTTTCTCTTACATGCTAGACTGAGATTAGTCCATATGATGAAAATTAAATCAGTCTCTTGGTAGTTTCCTTTATGTTGTTGAAAGATTCTTCAAGTTAGGAACTTATTTTTTTTGTTTTGACCTTTTTTTTTTTTTTTTTTTTTTTTTTTTTTTTTTTTTGACCTTTTTTTTTTTTTTTTTTTTTTTTTTTTTTTTTTTTTGTTCCATGTATTCAAGAAATTTACAATTAGGAAACTTCCCTTTTCAGTCATTTTCAAATGCACCTTTCTTTCACTTTCCTTCAAATTTCAACAGTACCTGAAAATGAGAATTTTAGAAGAAACTCAAAAATAGAGCTTGTCATTTGTCAATATAATTTCATGTGTGCATTATGATATGTATGAAATATGGATTCCTTTCAACATAAAAATGTAATACTTACTTTTCTTTTATTTCTTTGTTCAAATTTTCCTTTTTCAACAAAAATAAATAGTCAGAAATACAATTTCCAAAATCTAACTCCAATCACAATAATATACTACTTTTCATAGTCTTCCAATCCTGATTCAAGCCACTTGCTTATAATTGAACATTCACAACTATACCTAATGGAAATGTAAATATGCCTATAATTTTATAAAGAAATTTTCTAGTTTCCAACTCCAGGACTTGGAACTGACTGCAAAGTTCGATAATCACCAATTCCAGAACTTGGAACTGATTGCAGAGCCTGGCCTCTAGCAATTCCAGGGCTTGAAACAATTTGATAATGTCCTGCTCCAGGCCTCGGAGCTGAACGTAAAGCTCGAGAATCGCCAGTTCCTCCAGGGTTTGGAAATGGTTGCAAGATTTGATAATGTCCAATTCGAGAGCTTGTAACTGACTGCAAGACTCTATCAATCTTGGAAAGATTTCGAGTCTCACTAGGAATAGCCTTCTCCACTTGAGGGAGCTTTCTTGCCTCCAAAGATGGAGAAAGGCAAAGTAATGCAAGAAGAAAGATTAGAGCAATTCTGCTTAAAAGGGCCATAAGATAAGAATGCTGAAAGAAAGAAACAATTAAGCTTAGTTCTTCTATAGCTTATTTTCTCAATATAGCGCTGTAATAAGTAGACAGCTAAATATGTACAGAGATTCCCTGATATTATTTCTATGAATAGAATAAGGAAAGAGAGGCGTAAGGGACGAGTAGTATATATGAATTTGAAACTGTGAATTTTAGAGCAACATATATATAGATTGAGAATTTGGTTTAGGCACATCTCTTCCTTGGGCGCTAACTGCTGCTAGTGCTCCATTATGTTCCAAAAGATTTAATAGGAACTGAAAATAAATATACAGTACACATGATGGAATTGAACTCCCATGGTGGCTTTGGCTATTCATATTTCTGTTAAGAGTGCATTTCAATTTGGCTAAATGGATAACTTAACTCATGTGTTGTATAAAAAAACTCGTGCCGTCAACTTTTACTTTGATCTGTTAAACACTTTTTTTTTATTACATAAGAAATCAAGAAGAAAAAGAAAACCTACTTCAAAAAGTCAATACTACAAGCATCAGCCCAAAGAATCGGAGGGAATAAAATGATCCAACCTAATTAGATAATCAACTGGATAATTAGTTCATAGTAGACATGATGCAAATAGCAATCCCAATCACAAACCATCAAAATTCCAACTTTTCAAATTATTTTATTAAAACTACTAAACACTTTAACGTACAAAATTGCTTTATTAAACAATTCAACTTAGCAAAAATTTTCTATTAAACATTCCAACTTTTAAAATTATATCAATTGAACATTTATTTTCTATTGAATTGTTTCAAAAATCATAGTGAACACATATATCAAATTAATATTTTGTATATAAAAATTTAAAGCACCAAAAAATATTATTGCTATAGTGTGGGAAAAAGTGGGATCTTACCAAAATCATAATTTCAGATACATGTACAATAAGCCTAATGTAAAGTTTCAGATTCCACAAAATTTTTTTGCATAATTAAATATAGGGATGAATTTATATATTTGGCCGCTACTAGTTTATCCTCTTGTTATCTGAAATACATTAGTCAAAACTTTTATATTCAAAATTTAAAAATTATATAAGTCTCTCACTTTTTTCTGTTACATTGCTTGATATTATATTAAATTTACTCTTAATCAGAAGGACTAAATAGTGTAACAAGAACAAATTGAAGATTATATTACTAAATTCTAAAAATAAGGGATTCGAAAAAATGGAGGACTATTAATTCATGGAATTGAAAGATTTTCATGCATAGTCTAATTTTATCGTTGTAGAAGAGAGATAAATCTTATTTTAGAGGTGCGTTTTTATGAATTAAACCATTTAATTTTATTCTAAAAATACCTTTCACATATATAAATTATACTTTTCCAAACAAATAATGAAATATAAAAATTTTTCATAATATTCTTTATATTCACAAAAGAATATTGGGGAAATAAAAGAAAGTAAAAATAATAAAAGGGGAAAAAAATATGAGGAATAGCAGTTTTTATTCACAAAATTTGTTTTAGATATAGATTTAGACGCACAATTTACTAATACAAAACTAAAGTAGTTAGTTGATTTTCTTTCTCCAATCCCTTATATGAGAGCTCAAAATTAGAAAAGTTAGGGAACATCCAAATTGAAATATGCGATAAGCGTTGAACAAATTGACAAAATAAGGGTTACATCACAACTACTTTGAGCAAGCAACATCTCAAATAGAATAGCCTATCGATGAAACTGTTCATTCGGATCATTGACTTGCACAGTTTGTTTATAACTTAAAGAAACTGAAATGTGCACACAAAGGCAAAGATGAAAAACAGGAAAACCTATGTGCGGTTCATGATTAGGTTCCAGTTGACCCGATTGATCAGTGCATTATTGAGACCATATCCATTGGTTTTTTTTTTTATACATAAAAGGCCTAATGAATTAAAAAAAAAAAAAAAAAAGTTTGATCAGATGCTATTTATTTGAGGACCATTTATCCAGCTGGGCGGTTTTTTTTTTTATACATTAAAAGGCCCCCCTAATGAATTAAAAAAAAATTATAAAAAGAGAGAGATTTCAAAATATATTTGTGTGTGCTGCTATGTTTTGAGGAAATCGTACATTCACCAATAGTGTTGTCCCCACTTAAAAAAAAAAAAAAAAAGATAAAAATACGATTTTGTCTCTATGTTTTGACGTAATTAAATAGTTTGTCCCACCAAGCCAACACAAAAATAAACTCAGAGAAAAAGAATTTAATACATCCAACGGCCCTAATTGCTCAATTATTGGTCTCGAATTAGACCCCACCTTCTACTCCGATTCTTTCTTTCTTCCTTCTAAGTCTAACCTGATCAATTTCAATCCCCAAGAAAAACAAAATCTATTTATAATTTAATTTTAATTGATTTCTAATGGAATTAAAAATAGATAATTCAACAAGTATAGAGCATAATTCCTGATTTCTAATGAAATTTTTTTTTTAGTTTTCACCTTTTTTATTTGACCCCTAAATTTTTGAAATTTTTTTTTAGTCCCTCTAGATCTAATTCCTGATTCCGCTACTGTTAATAGACAGACGAGCAACCATCTCACACATTACAATAATATATGTATTTTTAACTTTCACTTATATGACCAAATATGATAACAAAATGTTAATTATATTCATTTTTCATTGCATTACCTTACACAGTGACTCTAAGTTATGTTTGGTATGATGGATCATGTATATAATGGAAAGAATTACATTACATGGTTAATTAGATTATTTGGTTAGACTTTTTTTTTAGCTTGTCATGTAATTGAGATTATATATATAATCTTTATTATTTAGATTGATGTAATATTCATTAAAAAAAATCTATGTAAAGTTCATTACATTTCTCAAAACTGATACCCATTCTCAACCACTACTCTACTACCACAACCCCTAGACTTTGCTCATAGCCAAGGCCAGCCATGCATATTCGAAGGGTCTTAGCATCCTTTCCGACTGTAGGCCTCATCTAGCAATGTCTATCCAAGGATCTTGCACTACCGTATATGGGCTCAATGCCTTCGATGCCATTGCGAGTGTGTCCGAAAGGGTCTTAGCATCCTTTCCGACTTGTTAGGCCTCATTCTTCCAGACAATGTCTATTCAAGGATCTCTCGCACAATTACCGTATAGGGCTCTCAATGCCTTCTGAAGGAGCCATCTTTACAAACCGTATTGGGCATAAGAATAGTCCTGCCACTTATTACCGGAAACCCCCATTAGACAGGACGAGAGTGCGCACTATAGGGCGCCTTTCGGCCCTCAAAACCCTTGATATTCAGTGTCCATTATGAGCTTCCTTCTCTATGAGAACACTAGCAGTCCCTTTTGACAATAAAACATGATGCCGCAAACCTTAGCTCACTTTAGAGGCCGGGCTCGCCATTTCCCGTCCCCGAAGGCGGCGGAGAGCATTACGCCGTTGTCTTCCCCTTCGTCATATTTTCTTGGTTCCATTTATGCCATTCAAACAACATGCTATTCTCGCCTCCAATTAGCCTTACCTTCGTCCAGGGTGGTCGGGTCCTACCATTAGTAGACCATGCCCTTCCCGGGTCCACCCGTATAACCCGAATCTGAACCGAGCCGACCCGCCTACACAGTCTGGTTGAATATGTCCTGTTCATGCTGATATCATCCTGTATGCTAAACTATGAATACAAAACATTTCCCAATTTGAACTCCAAACTTTCAATAATCTCCAACTAAATACATTCATAACACAATAAGCCTTTTTTATAATATAGTCTATAACTGTATAAATCCCTCAATAGTATTTAATATGCCAGCAATTAATTGCATTCATGATCTATTATTCAAGTCTTCAAATGACCCTAATCATACCAACTATAATAAAATAGATTTCATATTAATCATTTCTCCCAATTTACTTACACCAAAATAATATAACATGCATTCAATATATTTCGAGAGAAAACCGTTGAACGGCTTCAACTTGGAATATTTCATATTAAATCATTTCCTCCAAATACTTACACCAAAATAATTACATGCTTCAATTATATTTCCAATTACATAAGCTCTGACAAATGTAATAGTTATACATGCCATAAATCTTAATACATGCCATACTTCATAATTATACAACTCTCAATCTACTATGACCAAATCAAGCACTTCTGCTTTGATAGTACTCCTCAAGTGTTCAAGTAGCAACCACGATCTTCAACCTACGCGTGATAAAAATCGACGCGCTGAGTATAAAACTCAGTGGTGCTCATAATTCACATACTTAACAATCAGTGGTGCTCATAATTCACATACTTAACAAAGTGTGATGACAACTAACTTAAAATACGAAGTTCATAAAAGCATTGATAATCATAGAATCAGTAAATTTTAACATAAATGTATCTTGATAGCAAAGAATAAACTTCTAATTCATAAACATAAATAATTTACTTCTAATTATCTCATAACTCCTTTACATGAACCTTTAATCACACATATCATGCATGAACCTTTAATCACACATTATGAGTGAGCGTGATGCAATCCGCATAGCCCATTACCTGTTTGTCATTGTGTTGTTCATGAATGTAAAATCACTTCCTCAAGAAATAAGCACCATTCCACCAAGGAGTATATGTTCAATATGATCTTGACTTCCTCTCTCCTTATGGCGTGTTATGAAGAGAAACATGTATGTCTACTTTTTAGTCACATCACTCATAAAGTTTGGATTGATTCCTTAATAACATTCTACAACATAAGACTGTATGGCAAATAACCTGAAAGAATTCCAATAAATAAAACTTGTAAGCATATACCTATAGCATTATACTTTCATGATCTTACCTGATGTTCTTCAATGTTGTCATGAACTCTGCAACTTTGATTAACGAGCTCACAAAAGCATACAAACAAAGTGGAAATATTCACAATATGAGATTAGAAAAGAAACATATAAAGCATGGCCCTGGACATTACATGAGATGGTAGAAATAAACAGTT